CAGGTGAGAATCATCATCAATAGACTCTGATTTCCAATCTAAGCAACAAGGTGATCAATAGAAATAGTTTTAAAGCAAGGCTTACATGGCGCTTATGAAGAATCAAGGTTAAATTTGAGCCAGATGCTGGTGACTCATGCCTGTAATCCTAGCTACTCAGGAGGCTGAGATCTGATGATTGTGGTTCAAAGCCTGCCCAGGCAGAAAAGTCTGTAAGACTCTTGCCTCCAATCAACCCTAGAAAAGCAGAAGTGGAGCTGTGGCTCAGTGTGGTAGAGCACTAGCCTTGAGCACAAGAGCTCAGGGACAGGGCCCAGAATCTGAGTTCAAGCCCCAAGATGGACAAAAAAAAAAGTTAAATTTGACAAATAAGTACTTGTAACTTAGTAACTTAGACTTTAAACAGGTTGGTTACATACAAAAGGTCAGACAGGCTCTCATCAACTTCAGACCAGGTGGTCAATTCCTTTCTAGCTGTGCAAAAACGACATCTGTTACTATCTCTTCTGTATTATTATTTTAAACCATGCCTTGTGGACTTCCCTGATGGTTCAGATAGCCTTACCTGGTCTGCCCCAATCCACATTCCAGAAATAACCACACCTGGCTATAATTTGTACTTTGCCCCTCTCTGGGTCTGACTGTATTTGCTACATGGACCAAATCTATAATGGCAAAACCTAAGAGTAGTATTGATGAGAGTTTTGAAACAGCAGCTGGTTAAACAATCTAGTTATTTTTAATTGTATTTTAAGATGCTAATTAAGGGGCTGGGAAGATGACTCAGTTGTAGAGTGCTTGCCTAGCATGCATGAAGCCCTAGGTTCGATTCTTCAACACTACATAAGCATAAAAAGAAGTGGCACTGTGGCTCAAGTGGTAGAGTGCTAGTCTTGATCTAAAGAGCTGAGGGACAGTGCCCAGGCCCAGAGTTCAAGCCCCACGCCACCCCCCCCACAACCTCCCCACCAAGATACTAATTAAGATGGAATCAAGTAGATGTTACTAAGCTTTCTTGACTACAATGAGGAATACAGGAACACAGGCCTGTCTGGTATCTTTTTTAGCTCTGTATCCAAGGCAGCTTAAATACTTGGGAAACAGAAATATTAAACAGCAAAAAGTAGCATTTTAGTTTTACATACTCATTTAAAAGGCAATTCTTTAGCTAGGTGCTGATGGCTCACACCTGTAATCCTAGCTACTCAGGAGGTTAAAATCTAAGGATCACAGTTCAAAGCCAGCTCAGACAGGAAAGTCTGTGAGACTGCTATCTACAATTAACTATGAGAAAACTGGAAGTGGTGCTGTGGCTCAAAGTGGTAGAGAGCTGGCCTTAAGCAAAAGAGCTCAGGAGCAGCACCCAGGCCCAGCTTGTGAGAATCTTATTTCCAATTAATCACAGAAAAAGCCAGAAGCGGTGGTATTACTCAATGGTAGAGCGCTAACCTTGAGCAAAAGGAGCTCAGGGAAAGTGTCCAGGCCTAAGTTCAGTTTTGTCAGCCCCAGGACCGACAAAAATGAAGAAAAAACATCAGCTGTAGGATTTCTTTTTTTTTCTTTTTTTTGGGGGGGGGTCCAGTCATGGGGTCTAGACTCTGGGCCTGGGTGCTGTCCCTCAGCTCTTCAGCTCAAGGCTAGCGCTCTACCACCTGAGCCACAGCGCCACTTCCGGCTTTTTTTTTTTCTTTTTTGCTTATGTGGTGCTGAGGAATCGAACCCAGGGCCTCAGGCATGCAAGGCAAGCGCTCTACCACTGAGCCAACTTCCCAGCCCAGGCTGCAGGATTTCTTTAACTCAGTAGCAAATGACATTTTTGCCCTTAGTGGTCAATACTAGAAAAAACAAAGACTAAAACAACACAAACTCTTGCCAACATAAAACAGAACCTCTACTTTTTTTTTTTTAGTCAGTCATGGGGCTTGAACTCTGGGCCTGGGCTCTTCAGCTCAAGGCGAACACTCTACCACTTGAGCCACAGTGCCATTTCTGGTTTTCTGGCAGTTTATTGAAGATTACAGTCTCACAGACTTTCCCTGCTGAGCTGGCTTTGAATCTCGATCCTCAGATCTCAGCCTCCTGAGTAACTAGGATTACAGGCATGAGCCATTGGGCCTTACCACTTCTGTAGAAATTTAAGGTGGGTCTAACAACTCCCATCCTATACCAAAAGTGGGTCATTTTGACTCACTAAGGTTTCTGAATTTGCTTGGAGACAATTTTATAGTCTCCACAACATTTCTTTTTTTTTTTTAACCATGTATTTTAAGCAATGACCTTACTTTGTTTTTCGCCCAGTTTTTTTTAGACCAGAGCACTTTATATACCAATTTATATTGAGGCTATATTATATTACACAGAGAGATTAATTTTTTTCTTCTTAAACACTTTTTTTAAGTTCTTAAGCACACACTGGAGGACATTGGACTTACTATTGGAAGAATTATATTTCTAGAGATTGAAACCCAAGAGTAGTTAGGTGCAGGTGCTCTATAAGGAGGTAGCAGAGGGGAAGACAAAGACCACATAAATGGAGGCTAAGAAAAACTAAGGCCAGCCAAACTTTGGTGGCTTATTCCTGTAATCCTAGCTACTCAAGGAGGTTGAGATCTAAGGATAACAGTTCAAAGCCAGCTCAGGCAGGAAAGTCTGTGAGACTTTTTTTTTTTTCCTTTGGTCATGGGGATTGAACTCTGGGCCTGGACGCTGTCCCTCAGCTCTTCAGCTCAAGGCTTGCACTGTATCGCTTGAGCCACAGTGCCACTTTCGTTTTTTGCTGTTTATGTGGGACTGAGGAATCGAACCCAGGGCCTCATGCATCCGAGGCAAGCACCCCTCAGAGACAGCCTCAAATACCAACAATGGGTGGATAGAAGTGATCTCATTGGGACCTCCAAATGTTAGAGCAGCACAGACCAGCAAAGATCATGACTTTTTAGAGAGGATAAAGGAGTTTATTATTGGTGACCTGCCAGAAAGAAATTCGGGTCCCAAGGAGGGGGAGACTCTGTTTTGTTGTTGTCGTTTCTTGTTTTTACCAGTTGTGGGGCTTGATCTCAGGGCCTGGGCTCTGTCTCTGAGTTTTTTTACTCAAGACTTTAAATCATAGCTCTATTTTTTATTTTTGGGGTGGTTAATTGGAGATAACGGTCTCAAGGTATAAGGAAACTGAGTCAGGAGGTTATCAGGATAAAGAAAGGGCAGAAAGCTAACTCAACAGACTTTATTCAGGAGAGAAGCCAGGGAAGGGTGACCTAGTCTCCTTCAGCCTGGCTGAAGAGGAAATGAGAGGGTCCCCCTTACAACTAGGGTTCTTTGAATATTAGGCAGATAGAATGCAGAAGGGGGGTGCAGATGTAAGCCAGGTGAAATGGAGGTGGGGAGGATGAGCAATGTTTTTTGACTAAGGAGTTTGAGGGTCTCAGCAGTCTCTGTGTTAGGTGCATCAGTATGAGGCATGGTCTTGGTCTCAGGCTTTCTTCTCCAAAATCTCAGGGTATGTTTGTTCAGGGGAGAGAGGAATGGAGATGATTTAGCAAGGTCTGCTGCAGGGACACTTCTAAGATATGGCTGCAATAGGGGGTAGGGGGAGGAAGATGAGTGTTTTAGGCTAAGTCATTTTCCATCACATGTTCTTTCCTTCCTGGGCTGGCTTTGAATGCAATCCTTAGATCTCCTGAGTGGCTAGGATTATAAGTATGAACCACCAGCACCTGGCTAGACTCTGGGTTTTATCCAAGCTATTTACACACAAAAAACCTCAGGTCATAGCCAGATGTTGGTGGCTCATACCTGTAATCCTAGCTACTCAGGAAGCTGAGATCTGAGGATCCTGGTTCAAAGTCAGCCCAGGCAGGAAAGTCCATGGGACTCTGATCTCCAATTAATCACAGAAATAATTGGAAGTGGCTCTTAAACAAAAGGAGATCAGGGACAGCACTCAGGCCCCAAGTTCAAGCCCCAGGAGTGGAAGAAAAAAAATTAATCAGAAAGGCAAAGGTCAGGTAGGGGTAACATCCAATCCAGGCTGAGTGTACAATTTCAAAATTAGCTTGTGGACTTTCTGCTATTGATCCAGCTAGCCCCAACTGGTGTGCTGGAAACCCACATTTTGGTGGACAGCCTCATGTAGCCACATTCTGGCAAAATGGCCATAGTTACTAGGAAGGGTAACTTTGTTTGCTTCAATATAGCCTAGGCTTGTCTGAACTCACAATCCTCATGCCTCAGCCTCCCTGGTGCTAGAATTGCAACCGTGAAATTCTGAAGCTGTCCCTAATATGGAGCTGTAGAATCCTGGGCTGTGTATGTACTTGGGGTTATCTAAATCTGATCTGTAAGGGCCAGAACATGGACAGCATCCTTCAGAAGTAAGATGAGGCCTATGATGAGTATAAGCCAATCATCTTTGGGTAAGAAACTCCTCCCATCCCCCCCAAAAAAATCATCTTCCAAATCTGGACCCTGGAGAGTGAAATGGGGCTCCATTAAGAGTTTCACCAGAAAAATCGGCACAAAAGATGTCCTTGACAAAGAAGGTCTATCATGGAACCTTTGGCATGAAACCTGCCAAGAGACCTGGAAAGTAAACTATATGGGGACAAATGTGACTAATGTCTTTGGGCACAAGAAAGAGAGGAGGGTGCAAGAGAGGGAAATGGGCAGAAAAAAAAAAGCCTATCTATAATCAGCCAAGGGAGCAGAGGTGTTACAAATGACTGCTCTTCAAGGAACCAGGCCTCCTGCCACAGCCCAGCTGTTCCCCCTCCTCTTCCTTCTACTCCCCGAAACACTTGCTCCTTCTCTGGAACTCCTAGACCTAACCCCACTCCCTGGATGTCCCCTCACTCCCTTTCCCAGAACTCAAGTGCACCAAGCTCTGGCCTGCGGTTCCCTCCTAGGCCTCAGCCTTTCCTGCCTTCGGCTTAAACAGCAGCATCTTCTAAGCCCTGGGGGCTTCCCCAGGCCCCAGCCCCGACCTAGAACCCGCCCGCTGCCTGCCACGCAGCCACTGCCGCTTCCTCTATAAAGGGACACAAGCGTCCGTCGGGGCCCAGGCACTGAGCAGGTGAGGCTTTCCCACCCCTATCTCCTTGGGTTACCCAGGCATCTTGCCCCTCTGCTTGAGCCTGGGGCCCTTCTTGCCTCCTACCTGGGTCCTAGCCTGCCTGGGCCTGGATCCTGATGGGTTTAGTTTTGGTTTGTTCATGGTTTCTAAATCTCCATCTGTCAGCCTATTTCTCTCACCCTTGTCATGTATTCACTGATGGTGTCATTGTCCTCTCCTTCCCTCCATCTCTCTCCTTCTACCTTCCTCTGCCTACCCTGGGGCCTCTGTACCTGTGTCTGGTCTGCTTTCCTGTCTCAGTGTGATTGTCCCCACCGGCAGGCAGGAGGTCTGTTTTCTGCTATGGGCCCCGCCCCATTCATAGTCTCTCTCTCTCTCTCTCTGCAGATTTTCCCCATGACACCACCTGGACATCTCCACCTCCTGAGGGTGCTTGGCAGCCCCTTCCTCCTCCTCCTGGGGCTGCTGCTACTGGCCCTGCCACCAGGGGCCCAGGTGAGACATAAGGACCGTTTGGGTGATGCAACCTCAATCTACAGCCCTAAAGCCTTCTTAACTGTTCTCCCCTAGGGTCTCACTCGTATTGGCCAGTCTACAGATCAACACCCCCACAAGCATTCCTTCTATGGCACCTTCAACCCTATTGCTCACCTTGTTGGTAAGTTTCTCCCTGACCACCCGATCATGTAATCCCCAGATGACCTCCTGCCCTGAAACTAAGGACTCTGCTTCTCCCCTAAACTTCTATCCTAAGGACAGAGGCAACCCATGCCCTTCCACTTTTCTCCAGCCATTTCCTAGGGACACAGTGCTCCAGGGCTTGTTTTCTCAGGGATAGAGACCACTGACCTAATAAGCCCTTGATCTGCCATCCCTACCCTCTATGGTTTTCCTAGGAGACATTCACACCCCCGGCTCACTGAGCTGGACAGCGAACACAGATCGCACCTTTCTCCATGGTTTCACTGTGAACAACAATACCCTCGTGGTCCCCACGGCTGGTCTCTACTTCGTCTACTCTCAGGTGTTCTTCAGTGGCAACAGCTGTCCTTCTGACGGCACCCCTCTCCTCCTAACCCATGAAGTCCAGCTCTTCTCCTCCCAGTACCCCAACCACGTGCCTATCCTCAGTGCCCAGACATCTCTGTGTCCAGGGATAGAAGGACCGTGGATGCGCTCACTGTATGTGGGCGCTGTGTTTGTGCTCACTCAGGGGGACCAACTCTCTACTCAGACAAACGGCCTCTCTCATCTAGACTTAAGGCCCAGTAGTGTCTACTTTGGAGCTTTTTCTCTGTAGAACTTGGAAAAGTCTAGAAAAGAAAAAGATAGACAGAAATTGATTTCAAGGCCTTCTCCCTATTTATCTCCATTCTGACCATTTCAAGGGTTACAGTAACTCTCCTTTGCCCATCCCAACAGTCTCAAGACGTCCACTCCAGTTACCTGGAGCTTTCCAGGCATTCCAGCAGTCCAACACTTGTGTGGAACATGCCGAGGCTCCTCTGAGGAAATCCCTAGGACAGAGCTGCGTGTCTGTCCCGCTTGTCTAGGTCAGGGAAACATGGACGTGGAGATGAGCTGTCACAGAGAACTTGAACAGATGTCAGGGAAGGGGAACTATTTATCAAGAAGGAAATTAAGTTATTTATTTATGGGAGATGACGAAGAGCAAGAGGAGCAATAAAAAGGCATCAGGAGAAAAGAGAGAGCGAGCCCAGAAATGGAGAATGAGAACATATGCACATGGGGCTCACCTAAAGGGAGGTGGAGGGAAAAGTAGATCTGAGGGACTGAGGGGGTCTAAAAGGAAGCAAAAGGCTAGCCATTGCTTGGCTGGATACCCACAAGAGCCATCTGCACCCTCAATGAAGCCCAATAAATGTTTTTTTTTGTCTGTAAAAAGCACTGTCTGCTTATGTGTGTTTATCTGGGGTAGAGGGAGAGTTTCCTTGGGTCTCTAACACCTGAGGACCCTCAGAGTGGTCAGAAGCTGTGGGAAAAACAAGGAGATTGCTGGGTGCCGGAGGCTCCGGCCTGTCATCCTAGCTACTCAGGAGGCTGAGATCTGAGGATCGAGATTCAAAGCCAGTCCGGGCAGGAAAGTCCATGAAACTCATTTTGTTGTTGGTGGTGGTGGTTGGCTGGTTTTTGTTTTGTTTTGTTTTTTGTCACTTGGAGGGCTTGAACTCTGGGCCTGGGCGCTGTCCCTCAGCTTTTCAGCTCAAGGCAAGCACTCTACCACTTAAGCCACAGTACCACTTCCAGTTTTCTGGTGGTTAATTGGAGATGAGAGTCTCACGAACTTTCCTGCTGGGGTTGGCTTTGACCCACAATCCTCAGATCTCAGCCTCCTGAGTAGCTAGGATTACAGGCGTGAGGCACCAGCACCCTTATCTCCAATTAACCACCAGAAAACTAGAAAGGGAGCTGTGGCTCAAAGGGCTAGAACACTAGTCTTAAGCAAAAGTTGCTCAGGGCTCAAGTTCAAGCCCCATGACCTACAGAAAAAAAAAAAGAGATTAAGGGACTCAAATTTCTCCAGATATATATGGCTGATTTATGGAGTCCAGGCAGCCTGACTGCGCCAGGAGAAGCTGTGGAGACAAAGAAGTGTGGGACACGGAATGGTGGGAAGCGGGGGAGGGTTCTTGGAGAGTTGTGGTCATATGTGGAGGCTCTGAGGAGGGAGGCTTCCAGGAGGCCTCTCAGAAGCGAGTGACCACATCAAAGGGTGAGGGAATCTCCAGAACTATGGTGTACGCTATGGGAATCTTCTGGAAGGTGTCAAGCCCTTAGGAGTGAGAGAGCCTCTAGAACTACAAGAGGAAATAATTGAGGAGACATGGTCATATGCCAGTGCTCTGAGAGTTGGGGGTTTCAATTGAACCAAACAAAAACAGCCGGGCACTGGTGGCTCATGCCTGTAACCCTAGCTACTCAGGAAGCTGAGATCTGAGGATTGTGGTTCAAAGCCAGCCTAGACAGAAAAGTCCGTGAGACTCTTATCTCCAATGAACCACCAGAAAACCAGAAATGGTGCTGTGGCTCAAGTGGTAGAGCGCTAGCCTTGAGCTGAAGAGCTGAGGGACAGCGCCCAGGCCCAGAGTTCAAACTCCATGACCAAAAACCCTAATAAAACAAAAATAAAAAACAAAAATGGAGGCCTCAGAGTTCCTTGGAAGTCAAGACTGAAAACGAGGCAGTGTAAGTTCCAGGTCAAAGTGAAAGAAGAAAGCCTGCCCTGTGGGGGTCTGTGAATTCCCAGGACTAATTTTACTCCCTCTGGGGCTGTCCCAGGCTTGTCCCTGCTACTCCCACTCAGCCCTCCCAGAGATCCTGTGCATCCCCCTAGTTTCAAGTTGCCTTGCCCTCAGTTCCCCCTACCAGCTCTGGGAGTCAGACATAGCTTTCCTCCTCCATTGAGTTCTCGGCTTTGTGAAGTCCCCCACGCACCCCCCCAGCCCCCCCCCAACCCACTCTCAGTCCCCCAGGTCAAGTTCTACCCTCATGGGAGTCCTGTTTGGAAATCAGAGGAAAATAGACCAGAAATGCTATTACCTAAAGAAATAAGACACAATTGGCATTAGAGGAAATAAGGGCTAGCTCCCAGAGTCCTAGAAACACATTGGTAAATTGCCTGCGAATCCTGGAGGGGTGGGTGAGGAGTCTCCTTGATGCCTGGGTGTCCCCAACTTTCCAAACCTCCGCCCCCGCAATGGAGAAGAAACTGAGACAGAGGTGTAGGACCCACTACCGCTTCCTCCAGATGAGCTCATGGGTTTCTCCACCAAGGAAGTTTTCCGCTGGTTGAATGAGAGCCTTTCCCCGCCCTCTTCTTGCCCCAAGGGCTATAAAGGCAGCTGTGTGCACACTCAGCCAGCACAAGCTCCCTCAGAGAGGACACTGGGGACCAGCCAGGAGGGAGAGAAGCAACTGTAGACCACTGCCCCACTCCCTCTGGAAATAACCCCAGACAAGCGGCCAGACAGGCTGATTCTGTCCCTCTCACTGCCCCTGAGCCCCCCATCTTCATCTGGGAAGGACCCCATGAGCACTGAAAGCATGATCCAGGACATGGAACTGGCAGAGGAGACACTGCCCAAGAAGCTAAGCTCCCAGAGGTCCAGAAGGTATCTGTGCCTCAGCCTCTTCTCCTTCCTGCTTGTGGCAGGAGCCACCACGCTTTTCTGCCTGTTGCACTTCGGAGTGATCGGCCCCCAGCGAGAAGAGGTGAGTGCCTTGCCAGCCTTTGTTATTTAAGCCCAGACAGAAATGAGGGAGGAGAGAGAAAGATGTGGTGAGAGAAAAATGGGTGCTGAGGAGAAGGAATAATGAGGAGAGAGATGAGGAAGCAGAAAGAGATGGGGAGAGGAGAGAAAGACAAATAGAATGTCGGATCCATGGACAGACATACTAAATGACTCCAGTGAATGACTGAAGGAATGAGCAGCTACACATAAATGAAAAGAGATGTGAAGAGAGATATGGAGTGTGGGCAGAGGAAAGGGGAAGAACCAAGTAATAAAAATGACAAAATAGAAAGAGATGTGGCAGATATGAAACCAGAGAGAACAGGAAAAAGAGGTAAGACTTGGTACCTAGCTCCTGGAAGGCACTCAATGGAAAAGCTGTTGACTGGCCAGGTGGGTGGGTGAATAAATGGATGAATGGAGAGCAAAAACAGACCTGGGACAGCAGGACAAGGTAGCTAGCAGTCAGGCATTTCTCCTTTGGGGCTGACTCCTCTGATGCTGATCTTCTCTTTCTCCTTGTCCCCCCAGATGTACCAGAATGGCCTCCCTAGCATCAATCCACTGGCCCATACCCTCGAACTTAGTAAGTGTTCCCAAAGCCTCTCTCTTAAATCTGGGGTAGGGAGGGAATGGGAACAGTGGAACAAATTCAGAACTTTGGTTCTAAAAAGGAATGGAGCACAATCGTGATCAAAGCGGACACATATTTTCTGGGAAGATTAAGGAACACAGCTTTTTTTTCTCCTCTTTTTCTCCTGGTATGGGGGGCTTGAACTCAGGACTTGGGTGTTGTGCCCTAGCTTTTTTGCTCAGGGCAAGCATTCTACCGTGAGCCACAGCTCCACTTTTGGCTTTTGGTTGGTTAATTAGAGATAAGAGTCTCATGGACTTTCCTGCCCAGGCTGGCTTTGAACTGTGACCCTCATATCAGCCTCCGGTGCAGCTAGGATCACAGGTGTGAGCCATTAGCACCTTGCTTGGAACTCAGATTTTTTTTTCTCTCTTTCTTCCTCAGGATCCTCTTCTCAAATGGCAAGTGACAAGCCTGTAGCCCATGTCGTAGGTAAGAACTCTTGAGTGTGTGCCTGAGGGATGAGGAGCAGGTGGGACACTGAGGCATAGGATTTGGGGGGCTTAACCCAGCTGAGAATAGAGAGACCTGGGAGACTTTACTCAAGGGGAGGTGGAGGAGCAGCAAGCCCCCAAGGATACTCAGGACCTCACAACTAAACGGGATGTGAAAAGACATATGGGACAGGAACCGGAAGTGGGGGTGGGCAGAACTTGAGGGCCAGGATGTGGGGAGCGAACTGAGAGGGGACACACTGACTCACATCTCCCTCCTTCCCTGCAGCGGACCAACGAGTGCAAGAGCAGCTGCAGTGGCTGAGCCGACGTGCCAATGCCCTGCTGGCCAATGGCATGGAACTGATAGACAACCATCTGGTGGTGCCATCTAACGGGCTGTACCTCGTCTACTCACAAGTTCTCTTCAAGGGCCGAGGCTGCTCCTCTTTCCTCGTCCTTACCCACACCGTCGGCCGCTTTGCCACCTCCTACCCGGAAAAAGTTAACCTCCTTTCTGCCATCAAGAGCCCGTGCCAGAAGGAGATCCCAGAGGGGCCTGAGCTCAAGCCCTGGTATGAGCCCATTTACCTAGGAGGGGTCTTCCAGCTGGAAAAGGGTGACCGACTTAGCGCTGAGGTCAATCTGCCCCAGTATCTAGACTTTGCCGAAGCCGGGCAAGTCTACTTTGGCATCATTGCCTTGTGAGAGGGATGGATGTCCATTCATATGTCACAGATGCCCTTCTCCTCTTCTGGTTTAGGAAGGGAATTAGGGGATCAGAGTTGAACCCTAAGCTTATAAATATCATCAACAACACTCCGAAATGAAAGATGCAGGGATATGTGGCCTGGAAATAGGGTAGTCACTCAAACTGGAATTTCTAGAACTCACTGGGGCTTCCCATGGAATGTCTAGAATGAGGGGATCAGACAGGTGTTGGTTCAAACACCCCCTCAAAGAAGACCTCAACTAGCATTTGGCAGGAGTCCACCTCAGGCCTTCTTCTCTTCAGATGTTTCTAGACTCTTCCCTGACATGCAGAGTCCTCACAGGGCAAGCCCTCTCTATTTATGATTGTACTTGTGGTTATTTATTATTTATTATTTATTTATTTATTAACACATGAATGTATTTATTTGGAAGGTCAAGGTGTGTCCTGGGGGGGGGGGGCCCAATGTAGGAGCTGCCTTACGCCAGGCATGTTTTCTGTGAAAATGGAGCTGAACTATAGGCTGTTTCTACCTGGCCCTCAGGCCCCCGTACCTCCTTTGGCTTATGTCTAAAACAAACTATCTAATCCAATTGTCTTAATAATGCTGATTTGGTGACTGGGCTGTGGTCACTACATGGCTGAATCTCTGCTCCCCAGGGGAGTTGAATTTGTAATCGTCCTACTAGTCAGTGGCGAGAAATAAAGATTGCTTAGAAAAGAAATACACTTTCATTCTTGGAATTAATTCTGCATCTGTCTCTGGGGGTGGGGTGGGTGGATGAAGAAACAGGGGGAGTGGGGAGACTTCTTGAATGCAGTCCTTTCTCTAAGGTGCTAAAGATTCTTGGACCCAGATCTCAGTCCTTAGGCTTCTGGGGCCTAAGACACTCGACAAAATGAAATCTACCCCATAGCCTTCCTCACCCAGGAAACAAGAGCCGGAGACCCTAATTACCTGTCCCTTAAGGCAGGGGAATTCCCCACTCTGGGAATTCCAGATTTCTGCTGGGAAAGTACTGCAGTTCTTTCCGGCTGTCTGTCGTGGCCTGACAGCAAGGAGGAACCACATTCTCAGGTAACTGAATCACAGCCAAGGGACTTCCAGAGACTCAGGTGTCTGGGCTCCAAAACATTCAAATCCAACCACCACTACCTCCAGCTCTGAACCAGCCAACCTCGTCTGTAAATACAAAATGGAGCTAAGGAATGCACACTGCATTTTGGACACTTGAAAAGAGAAGGCTCAACCCTCAACATTCAGCTCAGCTCTGCCATGGAAGGCACTCAGTGGTTTTGGCCTTACTTCCCTTTCCACCTGCCAGTTGCTCCATCCCCTTCCATTTCTCAGTGAGCAAAATGGAAGACTGAAGAAAATAAAAACAAAGAATATGGTTTGATGGGGAAGGCCAGTTCATGCTTAACATGCGCAAGGCCTTTGGGGGTCAACCCTTAGCACTAAAACCCCTCAAAAAGAAACAAAAAGTAAGATATGGGCAAAGGATCCAATTGACAACTCTGATCTCACTGATCTTTTTGACAGATTTGGGGAGGGGTGAGAAATGGGTAAACTGAAAAGAGAGATAGAGTACGCTGCTAAAGAAAACAATTAGGGGCTGGGAAGGTGGCTCAGTGGTAGAGCACTTGCTTTGCATGTGTGAGGCCCTGGGTTCGATTCCTCAGCACCACATAAGAAAAAAAAAGAAAAAAAAAGCAGGAAGTATCGCTGTGGCTCAAGTGGTAGAGCACTAACCTTGAGCTGAAGAGCTGAGGGACAGCGCCCAGGCCCAGAGTTCAGGCCCCATGACCGGACCCAAAAAAAAAAAAAGAAAGAAAAGAAAACAATTATTCAATGTGTAAGGTCCTGGGTTTCATCCCCAGCATCAAAACCAAACCAAACCAACTAGGCTTATAATCCTAGCTATTCAGGAGGTTGAAATGTAAGGCTCACAGTCAAAGCCAGCCAGAGGAGAAAAATTCACAAGACCCTTATATTCAATTAACCATAAAAATCTGGAAGTGAAGTGCAAGTGGTAGAGTTCCAGCCTTGAGCTTTGAAATAGCTAAAGGACAAAGTCCAGGCCAGGCTCTAAGGAGAAACTCCAGTATTGACACAAAACCAAAAGCAGGGGCTGGGAAGGTGGCTCAGTGGTAGAGC